TACAAGGAACATGGCAACTAAAATGTGCACACTGCATGAATAAATGTCATACATATCACATCTTGGCCTCACCTTAAAAGACACTTCAGTAAAATTTCTCTGCTCACAACCAGTTGTGTTTAGACAGGTGATTTGTGAGCTCAGCTAATTAACTAGCTGGCATTGTTAGCACCAATTAGAGAACGTCAATTCATTGTGCTGGAGGGAGATTTCATGGCTGAGCTCTGATGACCTTTCACCAACCCCGATGAACTGTCCCAGGAGCAAGGACGTGTTGATTGACATGGGGTGGGGACGTCTTTCCCAGCAGGGGGCCAAGTCTCCAGGTGCCTCTGGGTTATCCTGGCAGCCTCACAGCTCCTTGGAGCATGGGGTGCTCTTCTTGCCTGATAATCCAGAGCAGCCGGGCCAGCCAGAGTGTTGAGTCTTGCTGCATGTCTCTGTCTGGCTCCCCAGCCAGCAGCTTGGAAACCCTGTCTTTGACCCCACGTTGGCTCAAGGTGATCAGGACTTCCAGAGCTCTGTGGCTGCTCTTCGAGTTGACATTCTTGCTGCAGTTAGCCACCACAGATGCAACAAGATTGTCTATACCGCAGCCCAGGGAGCGTCCTTCCTGTAAGATGCAGTTTCAGTGTTTCTACAGTAATGTTTCCTATGCATTTCCAGTCTGCAGGAAACACAACAGAGTTTTGAGCACTTTAAACCTTGGTTTGGTTCAATATGGAACCGTACTCTGAAAGAGAAACATATCCCTGAACTGGAAAACCTGACTATTTGAGACCTCCCTTGTCACCATTGCAACACTAATGCCAGTAATTGCTTGTAAGTGCACCATAGCAAGTGGAGAAGCTATTGCTTTCCATTAACTAGTCAGTGCTTCTCTTGTCTCATCCTCTTTTCCCATCCAGACAGCTCCAAGCAGGAGCTGTGACTGGGTTGCTGAAGGGCCCAGCACAGTGGATCCAACATGCATGGAAAGCTAGCAGACTGTTGGGACAGTGTGCTGTGAACACCACGCACACCTGTTGCTTTCCAGAAAAACCCAGCTGAGATGTGGATACCCTAACGAATCCTTTAAAAGAAAGTTACCAGCTGGCTGTCCCCTTCTGCTTCAGTGAGAGCCCTATGGATACTGCAGTTACCAAAAAAGACTGCACAGATGTGAAACCAGAGCTGACAAGTGCTTGCAGCCCCCTTCAAGTATCTCCATCCTTCTCTTCTGTCCTTACCCTGCTGCTCTGCCTTTATTCCTACCATCCTTGCCTAGGAATATAGGAATGCCTACTGGATATACTCCTAGGGCCAGGTTCTCTATCACTGTAAATCAGCACAGCTCTGCTGCTTTCCCACTATGAGGCATTGCAAGCCTTCCTAATGCTTGGCTGTAGAAATGCTGCCCTTAAATGTAGGAGTTAGGAGCTGTGCTAGAAATTAGTTGTTCCCTGGTAAAAGCATACATCATGCAGCTCAGAAAAATCAGATCCAGGCTTCCTGGCAAGTGTTGGACTTTGTGCGAGATTAGTTTCAGGCAGTGTCCTCAGGCAGCCCTCTTTTGGGTGACACAATGTTCAGATCAGCTGCATAGAAGATGGGCAAAGTGATGGACAGTAGATAAGCTGGGGGAAGTAACACAGACAGTACTCGACAGTACTCCTTCATGGCCACAGAAGAAGGTTTTGCTCTTCTCTAGGATATATTTATAACAGCAGAATTACTCCTGTGCAGTGTTTCTTCATCATGAGCCTGTTTTGCATTGGTTTTGACAGGCTTCAGCTCAAGGTCCCTGAGAGCAAGCCCTGTTTAGTGTAAGGACCCTAGGCAGCTGCCAAGGGTGGCAGATGCAAATACCCATCCCTTTGGAGACACAGAGTCCTGGACAGCCTGGCTAATGCTGGGGGAGATATGTGGGGACACAGCTACTCATGGAAGCAAGGGTTCCGTCTCATCCTCTCAGTGGCAGCCAGGGCAGTCAACCCAGCTCACCAAGGCTCTGCCCTCTGCTTTCCATCCCAGCCCTTCCTTCCATAAGCCATCCCCACCTCCTGGCCACGACCATCTTCCCTGGGCTGCCTCAAAGTCTGAACAAAGCTTTAGGCTGCAGCGACGGTCATTATCTTTTGCAAATGGCTCAAATTGCTGGCACCCACCGAGGGAGGATGGGGAGGCTCTGCAGTTCTTGCTGCCTCCGGTCCTGGAAGCAGCACCAGTCCTGTCCACCCTTTGGGGACAGTACAGCAGGTGAGACAGGAGTAGAGGCTCGGCGAAGGAGATTTCACAGCCGTTACACACACACGCGCGTATATATATATATATACACACATATATAAAAATACCTCCACCCTTGCAAAGTAAAGTCAAAGCCAGGCTGAGAAATGGTCTTGTATGTCTTCCG